ATAAACTGACCGTTCCTAATACCCTGGATCCTAACTTTTCCTCTTACACCCACCACTCCCTAATTAAGATACTGGAACCAATGGGAGATAGGAAGGATCTTGGTGGAGTTTTTTGAGGCTTAACTAAAAAAACAGAATATTTGGGTTAGATCTGAAAATGATCCTACCTGCCAACAGCCCAAAGCATTGCCCCAGTTTCAGTGAGAGTATCAGGGTTTGCCCAGGTACTTCATTGGCTCCCATCTTCCAGAGCTAAAAGGTTAAGTGTTTAGAATAATTTAGACCCTCGTCTAAAAGCCAGAAATAAAAACAGAATGAAAAATTTAACTTATCTGGAAAATTAGGCTGTTAAATTTCAAAAGCAGCACAGGGACTCCGGGACGATAAGAAATGAGACAATTACTGGTGAGTTTTGCAAGACACGAATAAGACTCTACCCTTGAGGTGTCCTCTCGCTGCAACCAGAGGCGCTGGCACTGCCCTTCCGCGGGCCTGCGACCTCACCAGGGAATAAACAACCTTATCTACGGCTGCTCTCCGTACCTCTCGGCTCCCCTCGCTCGCTTTGTCCTTCCGAACACCAGGAATTACTCCTGCATGCCAAGAAAACACCACGTACGATCTAATCGTCCGTAACGACTCTGGGCAGGGAAATCTGCTCGGCAGGGGCGACGCGCGGGCGGCGAGGTGCTGCGAGAACAAAAGCTCAGTGCTCGGATCTGCAGCAGTTTTAAACCAGCTGCTTTGTAACCAGCTGGGAACGATAATTCGTTCACGACCGTAAAAAAGTCGAGACTTTCTACTGCAATTCCGCGTACTTCTGAGCGGCGCTGACGGGACTGCTCTCAGCCCGGTCACTGGCAGGAAACATCTGTAATGCACGGAACTCACAAGCTTGGGAACTGTTTTTGCTAATATAAGGAATGAGAAGCACAGATAGGATCATTAATTCATAAGGATTTGTGAATATTGGCTGTGTTGTACAAAGAAATTCAAATCTTCCCATGCACCCCCCCAAGAACTATACAACCAGCCAAAAGAATACAGGCACCAGGGCAAGTGTAGTCCCAACAAAGAGATGCCACAGCTTTATTCCAGGTTTTTTGTTAAGATAACGTTTTAAAGGTTAGATGATACAGCCAATTCCTTCCAAACTGAGCAAGGCAACTTCAGCCAGGAGATGAGGAGGCACAGGCACAGGCTGCCCAGAGCACAGTGAGGGGCCACGGACGGACGCAGTGGTGGCCGCGATGCTGCCGCCCCGCTGGGGGCTGCAGGCACTCGAGCTGGAGGGCCTGCAGCCCCTGCACAGGCATTGGCGATGCCAGTGGGGACGGCAGCAGAAGGGACAACGGCGCAGGGCTTGGGATGAGATGCTCACAGGAGGAAAATGACGGCACACGGGGCAGGCAGCTCACATAGCCCCGCAGCACCGCC